TCGGGATCATAGCACCACTTGCAATCGGACTCATAGTTGGGGCAAACATCTTAGTAGGTGGACCATTTTCTGGTGCTTCGATGAATCCAGCTAGAGCCTTTGGTCCAGCATTGGTGGGATGGAGATGGCATGACCACTGGATCTACTGGGTCGGGCCATTCATCGGTAGTGCTTTAGCCGCTCTTATATATGAGTACATGGTCATACCCACCGAACCACCTACCCACCACACACATGGTGTACACCAGCCCTTGGCTCCTGAAGATTACTAGATGGAACTTTCCTCATTTCACCACTGCTTTTGTTAGTTGTTCAAGCTCACTTTGTCTGTATGATGAAATCACTTGCATAGATACTTTGTTTTGATGCTACTCTTTGTTTGTTGTAATAATAAGAATAAAGAAGGATTTCGCAAATGCTCCATCATTTTACCCAAATATATGAATACAAGTACCAATACCCTATAATCTAAATCTATTGACTTCCATTCTTCTGTCTATCAGTTTTTTCTTTGTCTGAAACCTGAAAAAGAAAAAGAAAAAAAAAAAAGCTTCTTCTCCTTGTTCTAAACCCTGTGTCAAGGTCCTCTCATCTTTTCAACAATTTGTCTACTTTTTTCCTCAACGTGACGTTTCTTCTCTTCAAACTTCTCTCCCACTTTCTTCCTAAAATCGAACATCCTCGCCTTTGCTGTCCCCATTCTCTTTCCTTTCGAATTTGAATCATCCTCTTCGCTCGAAACAGTCGACCTAGACGGTGATTGAAGTATACCAGGATTAATATCTCCCGCACTGCCTCCTCGCGCTATCGTATCATGCTTTTCGCTGCTTTCCAGCAGCGGTGTCTTGAGTTCTTCCAAGGATTTGTCACTCTCTACTATAAGACCTGTGGAATTAGCTGATGGTGTAGTGTCAGCAGACACAGATTCTTCCTCAATTCTAGGCTTCTGCGGGACGATGGCAGTTTTCTGCATTTGTTCAGAAGTCGGTGGTTTGTCAGCTTTAGATTTCGCTTCTGCAGCTTCGAAGCTATCGTGATCACTGGTCGAGTCTTGATTCAGCCACATGAATGGAGCGACATTGCGTTCGACCCAATCATCCCTTTCAGCAGTCATCCAAGGAATGGTAATGCTTTCACAATTGGGAAGCACCATGACGTCTCGTATCGCCGTCTGCAGAATTTGTTTTTGTCTTGTGGTTAGTTCAAATTCCTTCAGAAACAAGAAAAAAAAAAAAGCAACAGCTTACCTTGAACCGGTTGACCAAGAACATAGCAACATGGCTGTTTGTGATTTTGTGGTCACCAACAGAAGAGGCAAGGTTGAATTCAATATCGGGCATGCTTGTGAAGCCAAACCACAGTTGATCAGATGGAGGCGGCTTCATGTGTACACACAGTGTCCCTCGAAGCGAAGACACCCCTATAGACAAAGTAATTGGGACCTGCAGTTTTAAAGATAGAGATAGGCTAAGATACTACAAGAGCTAAGAAAAAGGTGTTCCTAATTCTGCTTGCAGATCCTATTAATCACGCCACAATCAGAGCTCGTGAAGCTTGGGCACTGGGGGAACCAAGAGCGCAACAAGCAACAAAACTGTCTTCTAAACATAACAGAAAAACGAAGATCAACCTGGGAAACTTGTTCAGCGATGTTCTTCAGAATAGACTTCCACTTGGATCCATTGCTCGAACCTGCTTTTGTACCTTTTGGACCCTTGGATTCATCTGCACAGATAAAAATAAATATAATTTCTCATCCTTAGTCTAATGCTTCTAAGCATTATGCAAAATCAAAAGCAAGATGATTAGATGAATACATAAACCAATCAGCAAATACCGTACTAACCAGCTTTATCGGTTCCACCACTTTTCACATCTTGTGCATCAGCAGTTCCACCGGGGACATTTAATTGCTTTTCAAAATCTACAAGATCTTCAAGGAGATCTGGTGGAACACCCCCAGCAGAATTTGGCTGCAACTTTCCCTCAGCTATGCCTTTCTCCAGATCTTCTTCTCGCGCATCAACCCGAGTTTCAACTTCAAGTCCCGCACCACCAGTGTATTCAATATCTATTTCGAATGCCCATACACCATTCATCTCCATTGGAAGAATTCTTGTACCGTGTATATAAGGCGGGAGATTTCCAATGTCCACATCACAGCAGATTAAATCACCTATGTAGCTGGGAACTCTCATGTTGGACATTATCCGCTGTTTAACCAAAAAAATAGTCAGATAAAAAATAAACGCAACCAATATCCTGATATAGTGAAGCTTTCATATACAAGGAACAGACCTGGATTCGTTCGCGCACGAAATTCTTCAGCACTGTGTTCTGTTTGACATCAAAAAACAGCCGAGAAATTAGTACGTTCAATGCCAATGTTCCTTCATCAAAAGACTTGTCTTCTGAATCTACATCCGATGCATGACTGCTATGGCTCCAGGTACGTGAGAAAATTTGGACATCGGTTTCCTCAGGGATGTTATCTTGCATCTTCCTTGCTGGGGTACTCCTTCCAGAGCTACCAGTAGATTGTGAATCTTGGTAAGAACGGGTTGAAGTTTTCTTGTCTTCACGTACAGACGGGGGCAAATTCACTTTAGTTGAGCACTTTTTTGAAAATTTCTTCCAGAATAGACGAACCTTTGATGAAGGACCATCCGCTTTAAGCCCCTTGTCCAATGACTCAAAACTAAACCCAGCTGATGGTTTCATAAAAGAAGGATAGGCAGCATTAAGGGAAGCCAGATAGTTACGGAAATCCTCTTTCAATTTGGTGGACCAAATAAACCTTTCCTGATTCTCGCAAGCAGCAAGACGAAGAGCTTTACACCATGACTCCTTCTCCCAAGAAGTCTCTAAGAAAATGTAAAACACTCGGTTTCCCTTGTACAAGACCGAAGTTTTGCTTTCTACTTGTATAGGGAATCTTTTAGCCCTAAGAAAACATAAAACAAAGGGATATGAATAAGAAACTTGAGACATATTCGAAAACGGATCCGCGAAAAACACTTATTACCATTTCCTAGTGGGTCCAGAGCCTGAAACAGCGTGAACGAAGCAACCTTTCAAAGTAATAGGAGTCTGAGTGCCATCTAATGAATCTGACAAGAAGAGCTTATGGTCTTTGATACGAGCAAATCTCCTAACTGGATGTACCTCCAAGAGATCAACTCTCTTCTTCTTTTGCTCTGTTGGTAATTTCTCCTTCATCCAATCTTTTACATTTTCATCTAATTCCAAAATCCAGATCACTCCCTGAGATATTAGATCAAATGCATCAAGACATGTTCCATTTTCAGATTATCTAAAAATAGAGAAAATCATCAAAATTGCCACAAAACCAATTACCACCAGATTCTTCTAATTCCCACTCACATTTCTCTACCTACTTCAATCCTTAGTTATCCAACTAAATTAGGGTTTCGTTAAGATAACCAATGCAAGAAACTCAATGCTCAATTCGGAACTAAGAAGAAGAAAGCAGAAAACTTTAAAACCCAGGAGGTTCACAAAATCGATGACCACCTGTTTGTTGAGACTAAAATCAATGGACTGGCGAGGATCGAAATTCTTAAAGTTTGAATCAGAACTCGAATTCGATTCCTGACGATCTCTCTTCCGATTCAATCGCTTCAGAATATACAAAAACCCTATAACTTCCGCCGTAACGATCGCAAGAATCCCCAGTAGAATTCCAGATAAGAACGCGAACCCCGCAAACGAAACCATCGCCACAAGTTTCTCACTAGTGTGGAGGAAAAACACAGAAGATTTCTTGCCAAGGAATCAAGAAGAGAAGAAAACGCGTAATGTTGTATTAGTTGTTCATGTCACTGGGAAGAAGAAGAAGAAGGAAATAGAAAGACAGAAGAAACGACGACCAAATAAATATATTAATTTGATTGATAACTCGCAATTCCAACCAAATAAATTTTTTTTTTTTTTTTTTTTTTGGAAAAACAAAACATTATTTTCTGAAGAAGAGTATCCAGCTAACAAAAAAGCGAATCTTTATATCTTCAAAATAAATAAAAGGAAAACAAATACTCCTAATATATAGAGAAAATTTGAATCAGAAAAGAAAGAAAGAAAACATTAGAAAAGCAACCATAAATGGAGAAGTTGACTACTTGGAAGTTGGAACAAAAAAAAAACACAACTTTTTATCTCTTAAAATATTAATATGAAATCGGATTTTTTTGTTTACTGATTTGATTTTATGATTGAATTTATGTTATTATTTTAATTTGGATCATAATTTAGATTTTATTACCTATAGAGTATATACATGACAATCTACATAAATTCATTTCAAATCTCTAAAGACATGAATATTTCAAAAATCTACCACAGTGTTTTATAGGTTGGAGTTTTGGTTATACTCAAAATTAGATCAAAATTTTGTGTATTGTATTTAAATTTACTTACATGTAATTTCATACACAACTAGCATTAATTATTCCGATTGTCTATATAATTGGTACACCAATCGGAAACGAAAATTTTCCTTTTCCTTCCTACACAGACTACACCAACATTTTGGAAGAGAAAAATCTGCTATCTCAAATAGGTCATACATTTTCATATCATAATTTTTTTCTTACTCTTTTAGAAATTCACTAATTTCTAGAATATAAAAATAATTTCATCATGAAAAGAATAAAAAGAGTTTCTTACCTGTTTTCAAGAGTAAAATATCAGCCAGATATAGCAAAACAATTTTGTTGAGAAAGTACTGTTTTAATTTGACATAATTCTTTGAAATTTCGACTTGTTTTTTAATACATGAGTCAGAAGATATCAGTTCTCAAGTCAAAAAATTTAAGCTAAAATATTAGTTATTGAAAGAACGTAGAAAAAGAAAAGTAATCCAAGAAATGTTACTAAGTGACTATGGTAATGACAAAGTATCGTCATCATATTGAAAACAAAGAACAAGGACATATCAAATCTATCAAAAAGAGTATTCTTCTTCTTCCTCTCTTACCGACATACAAGAAAGACAGATTTTTATATATTTAGACAGAAAAGTACAAAACAGAGTTCTCTGTTCAAGGTCAATTTACATGATCTCACCCAAGAAAAGAAAACAACTTTCTTGTTTTCTCAACACCGTGAAAAAAAAAAGAAGCTCTGTTTTCTTCTTAGAAACTTCCATGATGGGCTTGCAACAGGAGAAAAAACTCCGCGATGGCGGCGGTTGCTACCTAAAACAACACAACGAGCCAGACAAAAATAAAAAAACACAGAGAAGGAAAGGAGCTTTTGAAAACAACAAAGAAAAGTTGAGGGTTATAAGTTTTTTCAAGGTTTGGAGAAGGATAAACATACGAACGACCCGATTGATCTTTAGAAGCTTGAGTTTAGGAAGAAGTTATAGTCATGGTGATCAACATTGAGCTGTTTCAGCCATGAATCCGCAGCGCTTTGAAGATAAACCAACCGGTCTTGGTCAAATCCCGTCATCCCCCAAAGATCTCCTTGCATTTTGTAAGTTGCTACACCAAATGGAGGCAATGGGATTCTCTTGTTTATAACAGACTCTTCACAAAACTCTGTTTCTTCATTGCCTGTGTTGTTGCTTTGATCTCCTTCCACCACATTATCTGCAGCTTTTAACACCATTTAATAAAACCAGAAACGGTGCTTCTCACTGAGCAACGGATTCGACGAAAATTAGTGATCATGCGTACCTTGAAAAGACGAAGATAGAGTATGATAAGTTAGGAAGCCTGTCGTCAAATCTTTCTCGTTTCTGCAGGTCGGGATCTGATATATCGGGTACCTAATTCATCAAATCATCACTCAATCACTATTTCTAGCAGTTAACCAATTAGGAAGGGTTATGTTAACTAACACAACGAACTACTTACCACGCAACAGCCATCCAACTTGCAGGAGACATGTCGACACTCCTTAAGGTCATGAGTCCTGGATATTTCTCCACCAATACGTTTATCTGAACAAAAACCAAGAACAGTACTTTCGTTTCAAAACCAAAGTTCAATAAGAAAAGAAAAACTGAGAGTGCGGTTACTAAGAAATGAAATGAAAGGAGAGAAGAGAACCTTGTCGGTTAAGGGAATCCGCTTGTGCGGAGGATCCCTTTCAATGTACTTAAAGTCAAGGCAACCAAGTCTCTCTTTCAGCAATGGCGTACCATCCGGATCGAAAACCGAATCTTCAGAGACAGCATCCCATGTTTTGCTCGAATCATTGCTCAATGACCTTGACAATAGCTTTTCACTCTCACTATCGCTCCAACCCTCGCTACTCTCAGATTCAGCCACCTCATTCTGGTTCCTGCAACACCCAAAAACCAAACATCAAGAGATGTCCTAAAACTTCCATTGTCAAACCAACAAGGCTCATCACAACAGACTAAAATGTCACAGTATCATGTGAGTAAAGTAACCTGGAAAGCAAGGCGGGTTTGTTAGTGTGGATTTGGATGGCAGATAGGTACGGGACATAGTACTGCATAACGGTTTCACCATTGCTTAGATCAACCTGTGTTCCAAAGCCATATGCACTCATCTCATCATAACAATCCCAGAGATCACCAAGCCTGAAATACTCAATCTCCTCCTTTCCCTGTTCCTGCCACAAATTGTTAATATCACTCAGACAGCTCTGCAACTAACACACTACAAAGATCACTCACAAAGCCAATGTTTAGCTGATAATCTAGCTGTCATTAACTCCTAATTACCCCCAAATGTAATTAAACAACCCTCTAAATGATACAGAACCCAGAGGATATACCAAAGCAACCAAGAAGATTCAACCAAACCTCAGCAGTGCTTTGCAATTGGATTATCGAATATAATAATAATATAAAAAATAGTTGAGTAAAGCAAATTCTGTCGCACGTTTCCACGTGGTGTTATAGAATCCATAAAATGATGTGACACCATTTAAAGGGGATAGATAGATTTCAATATATTTCATAGATAAAATTCTCCTTGATGGACCATGCAATTATTGTCTCTATTGCCAAAATCTCATCTGAAAATTCACACCAAATCATTAAACTATTTCAAGTTCTAGGTTGTCTGATACATCATCCTTGATTAAAAAATAAGACCTTTAGGACAAAATCTGTTGATTAGAGACAAGATTTGGGGGGAGAGACAACCGATTAAAATAGATTTTAAAATATGATTAGTTGAGACTTAAGACTCTAATTACCCCCCAAATCGAGGATTACTCAAGAGAAGAAGAATTAAAAAATAGGGATTTACCTGAGGATGAGAGAACGAAGGAGGCTTAGGAGTGATTCCTAAAAGAAACCTCTCCAGATTTGAACGACCTTTAGTTGAAGAAGACCACCACCACATTCTCTCAATTCTTCTTCTTGGTCTTCTCAATCTCTCTGATTTTGAGATCTTTATAAACAAATTTGAGTCCACGAAATGGAAGACAAAGTTTGGAAATTTAATAATTTCTGGTCTTCTCTCATTAATAAAAACACCACAAATCCCAATATGGTAGCTTTATAATTCCCAATATAAAGCTCTTTCCTTTTTATCGTTTTATGTAAATCCCAACACTCAGATTCTCACCCAAAATTTTCCCTTTAAACCCTCCCAAAAAAAAAGATTACTCTCACCAAGAAAAAATCAAGAACACAGCTTCTGGGGTCTTCTTAAAAATCGAAACTTTCGATTATAAAGGGAAAATGATAATCAGAAACTGGGTTCTTTTTTACTTATTCCCAGATTTTGAGGTTAAAGTTTAACTCTTTTAAATTTTCTGATGAAAAATGGGGACACAGAAACTGAAGTAGAGAGATTGAATAAAGCTTTCTGAGTAGGATTTGCTTTGTATTAATGGAAGAAGGAAACGAAGAGGACGAAACGCTTCTTCTCTTTCTCTTTCTTTCACTCACTCTGATCCTTGTAATTAATTTCCTATTTTTTTTATTTATAAACCAAACCCCAAAGTATGAAACTGAAGACTTTTGTTTCTTTCTAACAAAATATATTAATTATATTATAAATAAAAAGCAACTCGTATCTAGCTGAATTAAAAAGGAGAGGATTGCGATATTTATTATTACATTATCAATTAATCATCATATTTGTATATAGCTAAATAAATAAATAAAAATTTGAAAGTGTAGACATGATTACGTCATTAGTACACCAAAAATCTAGTCACATTAAAATTTAATTGGTAATAGTTTATTTTGTTTATACATCGAATGTGTTCATGACCTTTTGCATTATGTATTTATCTTAGAAGATAATTAGCTAAATATGGATTAAATATAATTTTGGAGATCACGAGGACGTTAGGCATAACAACTAAAATAACCCTTTAAATTTGTGCGGTGAGTGATAAAGCTTTTCGAAAACAGCCATTAATAAGATTTTTGTTTTTTTCGTAAGTTTTGTTTTTGACGTAAAAATTTTAATGTTTTTTTAAGTTTTTTTTTTTATATATATAATGGTTTAAGAAACTGTAAAGCCACAAATCTAATAAACGGAAAGAGTTGTTCAATGCTGATTACTGGTTCGTTTATGTAGAGATTTTATGAGAGATATTACATGTCCTTTATAGGTAAAATATCTTTCTCAATTTTCTCAAAAAAAATATCTTATAGTATAGCAAATTATATAGCTTATAGAGCTCTAATAAAGAAAAATGTTCTTGTTTGACCCCCAAAAAAATGTTCTTATGCTCAGTCTATAAATAATAATTTACGCATTTTTTGAATCAGAGAATAATAATTTACGCATTGATGGTTTTATCCTACTTTTTTTATAGAGAAAATAAATCATCATGATTTCCTAACATGTAAAAAATTAGAATTATAATCTGTCAAAGCGTTTAAGATTGACAAAAAGAAAAGCTAACTGTAAATATTTGTAGATATTATGATTTAGTTCATGATGTAAATAAACAAAATTAATTCTCACAAATTAAATCTACCATTAAACTAGGCCTGGGCATTCGGTTAACCATTCGGTTTCGGTTCGGTTACGTTTGGTTTCGGTTAGTTTGGATATGGTAATATAATAACCATTCGGATATTTTAAGAATTTCGGTTCGGTTCGGTTCGGTTACCTTTCGGTTCGGTTCGGTTTGGATATTTAAATAGATAACCGTAACTAACCAAACTTTTATCACGTTCGGTTTGGTTCGGGTTTTTACCCAAATTAACCAAAATTTACCGTAACTAACCGAAACTAACCAAAATTTACCGTAACTAACCGAAACTAACCAAAATTAACCACAAAAAAATACAAAAAGAAAATACAAAAAAAGAAAGTATTAGAAAAAAATATTAAAATTTGATTCGATTTTGTAAAAGAGTATTTAACTTTGACAAATATAACAAACAATATTTGAATATTTTGATTATTTAAAGTATTTGATTATTTTGATTCTAAAAATAATTAATATTTTGAGTTTATAATTATAGTTTTGGATATTATTTTTGGGTATCTTATAGGTTTTTGGATATTTCGGTTAACCGTTTGGTTATCGGTTCGGTTCGGTTCGGTTTCGGTTAGTTTGGATAGGGGATTTTACAAACCATTCGGTTATTTTAAAAACTTCGGTTCGGATATGGTTCGGTTTTTTTCGGTTCGGTTCGGTCGGTTATTTGGTTAGCGGTTTTTTTGCCCAGGCCTACATTAAACCATAATTTCTCAGTCCACAGTAAATTTTGTAATAAAAAATGATTTAACAAGTATTTATTCCACCTCATATAAATATCTCTTTTCAGTTTTTGTATATTGTTTAAAAATCAGTTAATTTTTGGAATTGTGATTTACTATTTCATTAATAGCTTTTGTTTTGAGGAAGTAATAAAACAATATTATTATTTGTATTTGTTTTGAAACGAAAAAATAACTAATATCCGTCATATTTATTTTGTCGTCAAATTGATTCATTAAGCTGTAACAGGAAATTACAGAGTTAATTCTACCTGCTTTAGCTATCTTATCTGCAACATTTGTTTTCCTCCTAATATGCTGAAAGTCAAACTTGCAAAATTGGGAACTTTAATACTAGCAAAAGGTAAATTGCTATGAGAAAATGTTTCAATCTTGGTTTCAACTTCAGAGATTCTTGTTGAAGATATTTGTAATAAACGTCATATTTAATCCAACATAGGACGAGTCAATACCGACGTAAACTTAATTATTAGACTAAAAAAAGTCAGAAGAAAGATAATTACACAAGTAAAATAATAGTATTAAAATAAATAGAGAGAATGTGAGAGAAAATAAGAAGAGCGAAGAATACGAACACTAAAAAGTGTTGTGTCGGAGCAGTGCGTTTACTGCTAGACGCGTGTTTGCCAAAACTGCGTCGGTCTTTCGCGTTTTACTTCTTCTTTTTATTCTTTTCAATTTTTGTTTCTTTCTTTACACTGTCTTTTTTTCTTTCTTTTTTTTTTTCATTTCAATTATTCAAATTTTTATCAATACGTTTATTTTTCTAAATCATGTTTTGAATTCTTACTAATTTTCGATGTTTTAAGTAGTTTTTCATTTGTGGTTAGCAATAAAAAAGTTTAAAAGTTCTACCGACTAGGTTAAAGAGATTAGTGTAAATGGATAGTGGACATTTAAAATAATTAATTAACTCACTAAAAGTCTCTAAATAGATATTATAGCTTCTAAAAAAAGTGTAAATGATCAAGCTGGATTCTATAAAGCTCTAAGCAATTTCTTTTGGTTTCTGTGAAAAAGCATTTTCCTTCCTATTAAAGATTTGAATTATATTGAGATGTCAAAGAAAGAAAGAAATAAAACTTAAAATGATATTGTTTGTTCTAACACGTGGGGAAAGTGGTTTGTTACTTTGTTTAGCTAAAGTCACGTGTCCAATATGTTGTCGTATCCTCATCACACTACTCCGAGTCGCTATGTCGCCAACGCTATGAGTTACTATTGTTAATTTGTTATCCACAAATTTAAGTCGTTGTACTATAGTGAAGTGGTTGTAGTGTTATGATTATATGTATTGGACCGTGTGATGCAACGGATATGCTCATCTCAGAGATACGACTACGGCTACAAATTATGGTCAATAATCTCACTTGGGCTTAGCCAATGTTTTCATGCCCGATCCGGACGCTTTCTTCAGTTTGGATTAAGTGTTAATATCTAGCTATTTTAAAACCGAAAAACTCACAAAAACTCGCTATTAACCCGCGATCCGGTAAACTGGTCGAACCCGGATATAGATTTTTAAAAATTTATTGCTTTTGAAATAAAATATAAGGTTTTAGACTTTATTTAGTCATTTTAAATTGAAGACCAATACACATTCACTAAATTGACTCTAGTGGATCCCATTTTCTTCTTATCTCTTTGATCAAATGCATCTTTTTAGTGTAATTAGTGTAACAGAGACTAGGAGCACGAGGTTCATGCGGGTGTCTTAGTCTTAGCATTCTTGTGAATCTATAAATCAGATTGCTATGAAAGCTTTGATCTTTAATTGATCAAAATGGCTTAACCTCAAGTGTGATCCTCATCATGTTAATTATTGTGGATAGCTTTAAGTTTCAAATAAATCTTAATTTGGTTAAAATGGTTAAATCCTAATCTAGATCAAATATAAATTCTTTTGAAAATCGCAAATAGTTGTGTATAGTAGATTTTGGTTTTGCGTTTGTTACTGTAATTTTCTAAGTTGGAGATAAGAAAACCCAAATCAAAATTCGAAAAAATCTGTTTTTTTTTTTTTAAAAAGAGAAAGCCCATAAATCCATTTCTCGATCCTCTTTATTTCCAATCTCAATTTATCCATTGATTCACGAAATCATCTTTCTCTTCTTTATACCTCTTCGACTAATTTCTTGGTGATTTCTTCTTTCGTGATCCATAAGGGTTTAGTAGATCCATCTCTCCCTCTCTCGCAAGTTCCAAAATTTCTTTGTCTTCAGGGAAAAATGCAGAAATCAATTGAATATCTTGTAAACATGGGCACAATTACAGATACTGATCTGGTGCGGGGATGCTTTAGCTAAACCTTTTAACGCAAGGTATGTGGGAAAAAGAGAAAACTTGGTGGCTTGACAGTAATTGCAAGTCACCCAGCAGCTCTTACAAGAGCTGGTCTCTCGGCCCATGATATCCGTCCCATGATGCGCAACTTGGCGTGTACCACTCCCTCGCTGACGATTAAATTAGACTTGTTACTATTTGTCTAAACTCATTGCTTGGGTACCAAGTTCATTTGAATTTGTCATCTTACGATGGTTTTGTCTTATGAAAAACTTTATTTTTGCTATTTTTAGGTTTCATTTGAATTACTTGCAAGTTTTTTTCTACATTGTAGCTCGGATACTCTTTTGAAAATATGATTTGGAATTTTGGATCAAGTTTCTATTAATCCAATGCCTACTAAAAACACGTTATATATTCTTCTCATAACGCTTCTGCAAGTTTAATCATAAGAGTTATACTAGCATCTGTCTCGAGATTGTTTGTTCTCTTGCTCGCATTAACTTTGCTCAAGAAGAGACAAAGAAGTGGGTACACATAATTAACCGTCCTTAATTAATCATAACTCATCAGAGCACTAGTTGGTTTTTTTTTTTTTTTTTTTTTTTTTTTTGCATTTTCTATCCAATAATAAATCAGAGTTGGTAACTAAAATAGAAATGCTTACATTGTTGAGATTGTATTCCTCCATTTTTCCCTATCTTTTTACCTGTAAATGGAATTATATTCCATATTCCATATTTCCTTTATATGGAATTATATTCCATCACCTTTATATGGAATAGAGGGAGGTCGACATATAAATATAAGAGAAATTGTTAAAAATGCCCCTTTTTCAATACCCCTTTTAAAAAATGCTCCCTTTGAGAGTCCATTTTTAAGTTTGCCCTCTTTTAATTTTTAATGACCATTTTACCCTTATTTG